CTTAAAATAATTCCATTTCCATGGGCAAAGAAAATGATCTGAGTCTCTGAACACAGCACTGGAAGAACTCCGAATTTCCTCTCCGTGTGCTGAGGATGCCTGCCTCCAGTTGTGAGAACAAAGAAAGCGTGGTCATAAAGAGGTGGGCAGCTATCAAATTAGGTAGCAATTAGGACTGGTACAGGAACTGACAAAGCCAGAAATACATCCGATATTAGCAGATTTACATATCACCCCTCTTATCTCCCTAAATATCTGCTACCACAGGCTGCTGGGGCTCTGTCCCTGCCAGCTTCATTTTGCTCTGGAAATCATACTGTCTGTTCTTGCTGTGACACTCACTGATAGATCCCATTATAAGGGCATATATGTCACTTAAACAGCGTCATCATACTATATAATGCACTGTATTCACTTTGGGGAACAGTATGTGAATACTGATTGGCAAAATTTGGCCCATATTCTCACTAATTCCAATTTACTTCAGAAATAGACCCACTGATTTTGCTTTCCCAGCACAGTAATTTTTCTGGTTTTCTCTTCAACACTTTCACACACTTATACCCAACTTAGCTGCTGATCTTCAATATTCAAGGTAATTGTTAGGTAATAAAGTCTTTCAAATGATCTAGCAACTGGTAGTGAGTGTCAGCCGACAATTTTTTTTTTCTCTGAAACAAAGTCTTTGTTTCTTTAACATGTATTTACCAAAATAACTCTTGCAACCTACTCATCTTTTTAACCTTGATTTTAAGTTTTTCTAGTCATCTGTTTAAGCATCTCACAGAGATAACTTAGGACTGGCATCTGAGATGACTCTTGCTGTGTCACTTTGCTGCTGCCATCTCAGAATGTCTCGCTATACACTTTATTGCTGGCTATTAATTTTTAAGCTAGCTTTGTATTTCTTATTAACAACTTATTTCTCAAAAGATAAAAATGATGCTGTTGCAGTCACAGGTTCTATAGAAATACAATATTGGAACATTTGAAAATGAAGACAGAAGCTTGTTTCTGACAGATTGTATTTCCTTCTCAAATTCTATACAGAATCAAGTTTCTCATCCTTTTCTCCTTGTCTACATTGTTTGGACACATATTTCCAATGTATAAAAAATAAACAAACCCACCAACCAGGGCACTACCATGCATTACTCCAGAGGATGACAGAGGATATCAGTCCAAGTAACTGTCATGCTTTCAAACTTTCTTTTCGCCTCCAAAAGGCAGAATACTGTAGGTTGCTTTTAATGAGAAGCCCTGTGTGTGGCTTTCCCCACACACTACACAGCAACTGGGCACTTAGAAGTTCATGTTCTCCCTGCATCATCACCGTGTTTTGTCATTTTTCAACCGGGTTGACTTTAGCCCACAACACTGGGCACTTTCATATGGTGAAGTCTCCTGGCTGCCTCGTTAGCTCTGAATCACTGTGTGCCCTTGCATTCTACTGTATCATTTCCTCCAGCATTCATTATACCGCAGTTTAAACAGCCTCTGGCTAGGAACTTCTTAAAACGTCATGATGAAATTACTTTCTCGCTTGACAATATACAAGTCAATTATAATGTAATTAAAAGATATACTAATCTATTCCCTTGTTTGGTAATGGTATCTTGGTTAAGATCATCCAGTACATACTTGTAGGGGCATCTGTGAAATCTTCTGCTGTAAATTATAAGCTACTGTCCACAGCACCTGTTTTTTCTGAGAAAGACGCAGGAATTACAATACCTGTTCTCTTCTAGCTTTGAAAACACGAGGAATTAAAGTGGGACAAGCTGTTTTGAATCTAGAGTCTCCACGTTTCAGTGCTTGACTCCCCAGGCATTTGAATGGGGTTTTTTGTCATTGGGATGGGAGGATTTGGAAGAAACCTGGCACCTGAAAGATGTTTGCTCTCGGCTGGCTGCCCTCCATCATACTGGGCTCCTGATTTTCAGCACAAGCCTCTTGCATATCCCTCTGCAAGGGAAGAGTCAAGCTCCCTTTACTTGACTCTGCTCCCTACCTTTCCCCTACTCCCTTTCTGTCCCATTTTCCTCTTTCCTGCACTGTCCATCTTCACCACCTCCGCATGTACCAGCCAGGCCCTTCTGTCCTTCCCCACAACTTGGCAAACAGGTAAGGACCCGAAGGCAGCATCGTACTGTGCCAGGCAGCAGAGCGAAGCAAATCCCCTGCCCTTCTGCCAGCCCTGCTTACAAAGTGACTTCCCAATATTTATGCCTTTAAACACATGGGCTCAGCGGTTCCCTTAATGGCCCCATTCAGCCCACTCCTGAATCCTCCCACTCCCCCTGCCCTATGACACCCCTCCTCACCCTCCTGCACCCCGGGGGTTTGGGGATGAGGGACAGGGACCTGCCAGGAAGCAGAAGGGCATAGGGTATGCCTGTTGGGACAAGAGAGGATGGGGCTGAAGTACAGGGGACTGCGGAGGGTCTGCACCTTCGGGGAGAGCAGCAGCAGCCTGAGGAAGCCACTCCTGCAAGCCCATCGGGCTGGTGGTGCATCAGGAGGAAATCAAATACTTGTCACGTTGACCTTACGCAGCCTGCCCCATGTTCTGCATGGCAGCAGCACTAACAGGTTTCAGCAGCCCTATGCTACTCCACACACTTACAATTCAACATGCTGCCCAGAGCGATACATTGAATGCTAAAAGTAAAATAAAACTTATGCAACCAGGTAAAGAACAATGTTTAAGTGAAGTGTCCTGTATTCTTGATCACTTTAAAATATTTTTACTGTTACTATGTAATGTCAACATAAGGTAAAAAAACCCAACAAATTAATCCAACAGCCGCATACAAGTTGGATTTAAGTGAGATTTCTCGGCAAGCCAATGTGCATCATATATATTTGTCAAAAATAAACTGCTAGGACAGCCCCTTTGCAGTTCAGACAAGGATGGAGAGTTGTAAGAGATACATGTCCTTTGTCACCACCTTCCTTCTAGGGCCAAGGCCCTTAATTCACTTGAGCTTCAGCTTTTTTGTCTTTAAACCAGAGATAACTTCTGCCCGCAGTGACGCCGTGATGTTAATCCATCTGGTACTTGCCAACACAGGGAAAACTTTATTAGAATAAGCGAGATGTACAGAAAGCAGCACAACACCAACTGATGCTGTCTATATTCTTCCTCACAGTCCTACCCAGTTTAATTTTTGACTAAAAAAGTAGGTCAAAACACTAAACAATATTTGTCTGAGGGAAAAAAGCAACTTTTAACTTATTTGGGTATAAACACCCTTCTTTTTCCAAATCAGCACTCTTAAAAAGGACATGCAGTGTAACCGGGGACTCTCCAAAGGCGAGCGTGAAGGTAGCATCTCTTCTCGATCTGCTCCTTAATCAACAAAGGTTCAATACAAGAGGAGTAATTCACGTGGCCAGCAATTGATTTGTGCTTGGGAAGCCTAGGGGGAGAATTTTAATCATGGAAAGCTCACCTTCTTCTGAGACATGCTAAAACAGGGGGGTGGTTCCTTCTGAATGTCTTTTGGGCAGCTTACAAAGCAAAGCTTGGATGCCCACCTTGTTCTCAGCACACACTTTGCGGTTCTGGGCAGGACCTCTGGATGTGGGCACACGCTGCCCTGCAGCTTCCCTCTGCCACATACAGTAATTAATTTCTTTTCATTAATTGGTCTTAATGCATGCATGCACATCCACAAATAAAGCCACCCACTGCGGTGAGTAGAGCAGTTTTGGCTTGGAAGTCACGCTCATCTGGGTTTGTAAAGCCAGCAGCCCACTACCACCAGCACCAGCTTCATGCGAGCAGGAACAGGAGTATCCATGGGGTGTAAGCAAATTGGGGGGAGCTCAGCTTTCCCCGGCAAGTTGCAGGGGTCGTGTGCGCTGACTGCAAACTGTGGTAGCTGGGGCGGTTAGCTGGTGTTTCTGGAAATGAACACACTGGCACAAACAGCGTAATGATGGTGATATATTAATGCTGTACCTATGTCAATGAAACATTACCATCAACTTAAGCAGGCAGTATGGCTGATTTATAAGCCAATATATAACCAAATATAGCACAGGAGATGTTTGGAAAAGCAAGTACGTGAAATAGGCATGACAAATAGAAAAGCTGTAATAAGGGATGATTTCTGTGATCTCTCTTTCCCAGGACAGTGATATTTTAACATCCTCATCCAAACAGGAACACAGATAAACAGGCTGTAAATTTGTCTTGTTACCCTGTGGTTTGTGCTTTGGCAGAAATGATCCGATGATTTTTGTACATGGGTGAAATGTTTTAACTTATACCTCTGACTAGGGTCTGCAAGGGGAAAGCGGTCACCTTACAAGTTACTTTGGAGGGACTAATCAGAGGGATAAATCTAGTATGTAATAAAAACAGAGCAACCCATTCAATCCGACTGATCGGGATTCTTACAGGAAATACTTCAGCACTCTACCTGGTAATGCAAAACAAAATAAGAAAACAAGAACGAGGGGGGGGGGGCGAAGTCTTCATGCCTAATTTGTCACCTAAGGCTGATGAACTCCAGTGCGAAAGCTGAAGAAAATTAAGTGCTAACCTGTAAACAGTTCAACCAGGCAAAAGTGAATATGCAGTTGGCATTTATACTAAAGGCCCTAGTCTGCACATATATGTCTCCTCATTCCCTTTAAAAAGAACATTTTTTTCCACTAAAAAGGCCTCAGCCTTATCTGCCTAATACAAGTGGTGGTTTTAGATACTGTGCTACAGACTCAATTTGGACACTTAAAGCTCTTGGCTCATTAAAATCATGAAGTCAAACTAGTCAGAGATAAAATCAATTAAGTTTGGCAAAATCACTATTAAGGTGCCCTGTGTTTTTCCAATTATCCCTACAAGTGTCCATAATGGATTACATTAAAAAAAGTGAGTATTTATGAACTTAAGTGCTTAATGTAGCCCATCTATGTCTACCTTCAGCCAGGGCTGACAGTGATGATCCTCTCCACACAGTAAACACGCCGGGGTACCATCAGCCTCCTACCTTGGCTCCATCCACACTGATAATCCGATAGCTGTTTCTCGTGCTGTCATAGAAGTAGGAAACAGTTACAGCCTGCTTGCTTGCAGGAACCCAGTTCTTCTTCGTGCTGGGGTCAATTTGGAAGACATGGGCTCTGGTGGTGAAGATGGGCTGTTCTCTGGAATAGGGAGGGACAGGAGAAATGGATGCATGAGTCTGCGGAAGATGAAATGTCCCAGAAGCCCAGCCTTGACCAGGCATGTTGAAAGCACAAGACAGAGAGCACCTGGCAATCCCCAAGTGAAAAGGCAGAGCAATGACGCTGCTGAGCCAGGATCCAGCCTTGGGTACCTCTCCTTGGCATCGCTAAGCGACATTCAGTGCCCTCAAGTTACTGCTGTAGCCCAGGAAGCAATCGGTTTTTTCTCCCCACATTATACTAAAATCGGTACCCACCTTTTCCTCAAAATATTTATTTCCAGGAAAGGACACACACATGCATTCTTTCTTTCCCCATCCACATATTTTGCCAAAAGCAACAAGTCCCCCCCCCAATGCTGCACATTCCTGCGAACCACCACCTACAGCCAGGGCTCCTCTGTGGACGCACCAAGGACTCCAGCAACCTACAGGCGCAGTATAATTACTGAAATATTAATCTGTATCCTTAGAATCCCACTATTCTGTGGATGTGCATGAAAATTTCATCAGATGGAAAAACAGTCAGTCATCCTGAGGAGCAAGGGGAAAAAGAAACACAACCAAAACTCTGTGTTGATATATATCACCTTTCAGTTCAGCTCTCAGTGGACGACATACTGCCCCCGACACCCCGTTCCTAAACACCAGCCCACCTCGGATGCTTTTTCTCTCAAGAAAATTGCGCACACAATGGAGGGGGTTTGTTTTACCTTCAACACACGACAACACAAATCACACATAAAAGCAGAGAAGATGCAGGACCAAAAGAGCAAAACGTGATACACACAAAGTCATCCAGGTTGAAGATCAGAATGAAGACTTAAAGGTCATAAAATTAAATTCACTTCCAATTATACCTTTAATCCAAGTTAAGAAGTGAATTGCAAATCAAGCTCTACTGTGCTTTTGTATACATTTTTATGCATTCAGTTCTTAAAAGCTACAGTATATAACAATCTACACTAAGTGTACCACTCAATATATTCTTATCATATACAAAATATTATATCATGAATAGTTACACTTGACAGAATTACAACAAGATTCAAAAACAATTGTACTACAATAGAGTTACCACCCAAAAACGTTTACCACATGGAAACTGAAAAGGCTGCCAGGCTGAATTTTGCACAAAGCTAATGAAGAGAGGTAGGTGAAAGGCCAGATAGATTTCTCGCTTTCATATCCCATTCTTTCCTAGTCATATAAATAATTCTCTTCAACTATTCTCAGTCCCATAGTTTTGGAACTATGTTTTTATTAAGATTTCTATAATCTTCAGCTCCTTGTATATGCACCTGTGAATTTTTAGAACAGAACAACTTCAGGCACTGGATGTAGGAACAGTATCAAACATCACACATGATATTGACCATTGCAGTTTAATTAAAATCGAGGGGAACAAAGTTACGAATACCAAACAGATGAAGCAATTTAAGTGTAGAATTAGCTCAGGAAAGATGGAGTGAGCTTGCAAAGCCCAGCAAGGCCTCAGGAGGGAGAAAATTAAACAAGGGTTTTCTCTTTGCAAGACATATGCAAAGTCTTACATTTTTCCAGGGCCTGTCATGCAGGTTGCTGGATGGACAGCTGTGCTGAACCCTGTGAAATACTTACATGAAATAAATTGAAATTACAATGGGACTGTCACATTACAGCTGTGAAAGAGCAGCATTTGCTTCAGCTCTTCCTTATCAGTAACTCACTGAACCTGAGTCTTACTTCACACGCTAAAATCAATGCTGTCCTCAGCTGGGAGGAAAGAAGGGACACGTCTCTAACATTTTTAAAATATTTCCATCATTGATTACACAGGATTAGCAGCGTAACGCCCACAAAGGTTGTGGAATTCATTTGCAATAAGGAAACTTCCCTTTCCCCCAAGCTGCTTACTCTTTTACTCTAAAAATACCTAGTTTCCCCAAGTGAAGAACAATTTTGAATTTATTTTGCCTTTCACTTAGCTGTATATTTTTAGTGGATTCTACTAATAATTGGTTTTGCTAATGGTAATATGACCTACATATTGCAGTCTAAACTTTCAGAAGTTTCCTCCACGCAAACTGATTCCACAAACAACTTTAACTCCGTTAACTCATCTTAACAATACCAGAAAACACTGTTAAAACTATGCCTGGCCTCTCCGCAGCAGGAGTGGTAAGCATATAAAGTAAATCTGGAGATAATAAAAGTAGAACGAAGGGAAAAACTATCTATCTCAATTTTTCAGGGGTCTTGTAGCAGCTGATGTTGTCAATAGGAGCTGCATACATGCATCCAAGTGGATATATTAATGGATAATGAAGCTCAGGGCTTGAGATAGCCATCTATCCATTCATGTGGGGCTTTTATTAAAAAGTAAAGGCAAAACCTGACTATGTTTCTAATCCTTATGATTATTAAACCAAAAGAAGTGTATTTTGTCTTCCTGGGTGCAAACAGAGGCCCTATTACTCCCCGTGCTAGTGTGCTAGTTGATAAATTATTAAAAAGAAAGGAAATGCGATGCATAAACTTAGGCTTTTTAACTCATTCAAGGTAAGTGAGCTGTTGACCTTTCATTGACACTCAAATTTGGAAGGGCCAGTTGATTGTTCTCCATGTATACCTTTGACCTTTCTGCCATCGGTGGCTCTACAGGGCAGCAAAGCTCCAGGGCTGATTTTTGACCCCCTGGAGCAGACAAAGCACCCCCAGGACACAACCTCCTGAAGGATTTCCCAGCACTGGCTCATAATTAAGAAAAGAAGAGGCATTTCTGTGGCCGTGCCTGCCGTGCCGCCCTCCCTGCTGCCCAATCCACCTGCAGATCTACGCTCAGCTGGTACCCCAAGGAGCCCAAACCCATCAGCAGGGCCCATGAGCCGGCACCACCGGCACCGGGAGCTCGCACCCCCGTACCTTCCCTCGCACCATGGCAGGTCGGCAAAGCCAACAGCATTGACAAACTCCAGTGCTGCAGCTTTTAACATGGGGGGAAATACCCTCCTTCATTGCATCCCAAACTCCTCTAACCAGTGAAGCACACACAGGCAACTATAAAACTGTGGCACTATATAAAAAACTGTGGCACTCAATTTTCAAATGAAACGCTGAATTAGACACTTTTAAAACATTTACCACAGCCTTACAGAACTCCAAATTGAGAAGGATTATTCTGCATTACTCACTTGCAACTTTTGACACTCCACAAGAACTTTACTGGTAGAGGAATGACTTCGTTTTCCAGGGTTTCTTTCCTTTTCAAGTTTTATGCCTAAAACAACAGCAACTCTAACTTGGAATTCCTGCAGCGCATCCCGTGTCATTTCAGCCCCTATAAGCTGGCTGTTACGTGAGACTGCCAGTTGGCCTGGGGAGGCAGGGAGCAGTGGTGCTGCCAGCCAGGCTGCAGACTCGTAAATCAGAAGACAAGGAGAATTTATGAATGTTTAAGATCTCATTAATTTTAACCAAAGTTGTTAATGATTGATTAAATACTCTTAAAAAAAACCTGTTTAAAAATCAATTTGACAGTAACATCCACTGTTTAGAGTAAAGCTGCTTGAAAAGTAGCAAATGACGACCTAAATTATAGCTAATAGTTCTTAGTTTAATAGCACAGGTTAAGACAGAAAATGCACCTTGATAAGCTTTTTCTACTATTAAATATCACCAGCATGTGTTATAAATATGATTGCAATTTTCAAGTCATGGTTTTATGCATTTTAGTTGATTTTTAATTTCTGTCCTTATGTCATATTAGACAAATCTCAAGTAAAACACAATTATTCTCCATTAATGTAGAAATATGTCATAAACCTTCTCTGAAGAATTTAAAAAGCAAAACCCAAAACTCTGGAGCTAACTAACTGCATCCACAGCTACGTGAGATACAGTGTCACTTTCTGGTTAATGTACAACCATGCCAAATTTTACAAGTGTGTGACTAGCTGCAAGCCATGTGTTTTATATTACTCTTCCTAATCAACGGGAATGAGCTCTCACTCAGGAAAAGTTCAAATTACTTAATTCAAAGTTCCTTGTTTATCATTTGAATCATGAGCACAACCAGTGATTTAAATCACTTCAGCTGTAAAGAGCCTTTGCTGACTGGCAGCTGGCATCATAAGGGCTGTGGGATATTGGTGGCTGACGGAGCTGCGGCACAGCGAGCCCCGGCTGGGCGGCCAGCTGGCATCTGGGAGAGCCCCTGCCCCCGAACCGCAGCCGTGCATGGGGCCATGTGGGGCTGGTTCCGGCTCCCAACAAGGCACTGGTGATGTGAACACTTCTGTATTGGAGCAATCTTTTTTGGTAGTAAATACAACACAGTGACTCATGTGGGTGCCTGCAGGATCAGCGTCCAAGTTCTTCTAAATGTGCAAAGTGTCCAGCGCACATTGGGTGGATGCGCTGACAGAGCAGTAAATGGAACAAAGCAGCTCCTTCACTTGTGGGATCTGGAGCATCAAACATATTCATGACAGCAGCTCTGCTACTCCAGAGGCAAAACCACTATTTGCACATTTTGCTAAAACTTTCATTAACAGATCACATAAAATTTCTGGGATAAAGATTCCTAGTTTACAGGACAGGATTATTTGTGCTCTCCCCACACTAATACTAGACAACTTTGCATTAACTGCCTAATTTACCAACCGAAATAAATATATTTTTTAAAAGAACATGTCCTCATACAGCTGCCATTTGGTGGAGGACGCACATGCCTGCAGACAGCGTGCCAGCATAGAGATTTTGGAACATGGTGTTTCCTGCTACAGGCCAGCGTCATGCACACGCTGAGGTTTATATTACCTGACAGCCCCAGCAGATCCGCAGTCATTTGCTATAACAAATATTAGATAACTAGCACCTTTCAAGAAAGAAGGAGTAGGCACGAATGCAAAATCCTACATTGTGATATACCCCCATCACTGGTCATAATACAAAAAAATTTATTTGCCAAACACAACATGATAAACTTGCTGTCAATAGTTATTTGGATTGAGCATCGCTACTACTGCCTGACAGCACAATAAAAAGAACTAATCCTTTATGTATATCTTCACATACAATGTAGTTTGGAGTGCCATTTGTATTTATTTACGATAATTCAAAAATAAGCAACATTGCTAAAAAGAGGAGTGCTGTTCCCACCCCGCTCCTCCCCAGGTGTGGCCAGCTGTGCATGCACGGCTCTCCCAAACGGCCACCTGGCAGCTGCCCTCAACTTCTGTGCAAAGGCAGGATGGTAACGACACCAGCTCCCAAAGCCACCCAGCATCATCTGTGCCTCTGACTTCTCAAAAATGCACACACAGCTGCAAAGGCTAAGAGCACGTTAGCGAGGCAAACCTGTGCCTTCCGTCCCAACAAAGCTGAGTAAATACATCCTGCTCCTTGAAAGCTGCAAGCTCTCCAGTCTCTCCTCCGAGACCCCAGAAGTCACCAAATGTCCCCTCCAGCAGGCAGCAGTGCTGGCACGGGGGTCCCCCTGCCTCGGGGTGCGCAGCTGCCCTGCCAGGCTGCTGCTGCCTTGCCGTTCTGGATTTCACTGTTGCAAGATGACCCCTGAGTTCACGGATGCAGGTTTTTCTCATATTTGAAATACTCATCTCGATAAAAGTCCAGGCAAGTAATGATGCCCAAAAATTACCTGTGAAAATACTGTTATACTACTCACTTGTTCATACATGCACAACTCAAACTTTAAAAAACAACCAATGCCTCTCCCCAAAACACCAAAATCCAAGTAAAGGCAGACCTCTGATGAAGGATGCAACTGCTGTGGAGAGAAGTTACCGTTCATGGTGTTGCACAGGACAACTAGCACACTGGTTACAGTTTATACACAAAGTTAATCTTTGCTCAAATCAAAAGACAGAGTCCACGATCCCCCAGCCCGTTACCTTTACATATTGAAGGCTCATGCCATCTTTGATCAAATCTTTTCAAGAAGCGGAAAACCACACAAATTAGCTTTTTAATGATGACCAAGGATGAAGTCAGAGGACCCCCTCCTCACCTCGCCACATGCACTCCAGTCAAGACAAGTGCATCCCCCCTACGCTCACCACAAACAAAGGGAATTCAGCTGTCTCAGCCCAGTTCCCTGAGACACTGCAACTTCAACGTCCATCACTGCCCAGTTCTTCGCTGGCGTCAGGGATCAGGACAGCGGGCTGGGCCCAGTTAGCACAGGTAACACACAGAGCTGGAGAGAGGTGAACACTAAACCTGCACGTTTTACAGATGTGTAGCAGCAAACCGGCATTATGAAAGCAGGCAGCTTGCTCCCTTCCCAAGTTGGCAGATGCTAATTAATCCAGGTCATTCAGATCTCATCAGCTGCGACAGGCAGGTTCTGGTGCCAGCTGCCAGCGTACACAGCCAGCAGAAGTGAAGAGCCTGCTTCAACTTGCAAGGGTGCAAAACTTGGAGCGTGAAACAAGCAGGTGGGTAACGGCTCCATTTTACACGTGAGGAAACAGCCATTGAGAATGAGATGGCATCCTGGGATAATACAGCCAGTAGCAAGCCTGGAAATAAAATAAAATTGTCTCATTTCCTCTCTGTAGCTTTGCTATAGCTATCATTGCAGGGCAGTTTTATACCAGATCCTCTACCCAGCAAAGTTTTTGACTACATGAATTTAAAGGACTAAATCAACAGCTGAATATTCACCACTCAACAAAAGAGACTATCGTAAAAATCAAGACTCTTTACAGACCAGAGAGAAGGTATTGGTGGTTTTAAGAACTGCTCCCACACGATGTGGAGGCAGGTGGGACAGGATGCCAGCCCTGCAAAGCAGCCAAGCGCTGGTGGCTGGATGCAGGTCTGCCCAGAGCTGCTCGGCTCCATAGACCTGGGCAGCTCCTCCTTGTCCTGCAATGCAAACAGGCCTCCTCACGCAGGTGTTTCCATAGCAAAAATTACTTGGAAGGACGGGAAAGAAACTCTGAGGAACACAGGGCAGGAAGGGTGAGTGCAGAGAGAAGAGGGAGGCCTTAATATCTGTTGTACATGAGGGATGGGAGAACTGGCCCAGAATGATAGGCTGGGCTAGCAGGGGACAACTGCACTCGGTTTTTGCTCTTCTTTTTCCTCTCTGTACAAAAAAAATACACAGGCATCCCTTAAACTGCATTTGTCAGTACTCTGCTAGCCAAGCCCTGTGCTCCCGGGTGGTCTTCCCTGCTGCAAGGTGGAACGGCAGGCACATAGAAGGGTGCAGGGAACAACTTCTGAAAAACCCAGGCTAGTAGGACAGAAATGACACTGTCCCTAAAAAAAGAGAAAACATGAAAGGGAAAGCGCTATTTGTAGAATATAATTTACTCAAAGTCCTTCTTTTCGGTCTTTCAGCTGCTGAAATTCCTATTTTGTAGGCAGACCGATCTCCTCGCGATGAGGTTGAAAAGAAGTGCTGAATCTGGCAGCAGCACTAATCGAGGGCAAGGTCGTGCAGCGCGTTCAAATAACCACAGTCATGACTCTCTGGTGCCCACTTTATACTAGATTTGATATCAATTCACCTGCAGAAATATATGAAATTCATGCAAAAATCCATCTTTTTAGCTCCCTTCTTTTACAGGCATTATTATTTCAACAGACAGATTGTAATTAGCAAAAGTGCTTCTTGCATTTGTAGGAAACATAATAGTTCCAGTTACTTAGACAGAAAAAATTAAGAAAAAACCTAGCTAGCTATAGAAGAATTTTCTGTTAAAAGCACAGATGTTAATTAAACTCATTTTTGATTTGTGGCCGAGTAAGTCCAAAAGAATAAATCTTGGGGACAAAAGCTCTCGGTATGAAAATCATTGTAACATCTGTGAGGTCTCACAATACCATTATGCCTTTATGAAGTCAATATACAAATTAAAAGGCTTAACTTGGGCAGTGAAAAAGCTCACACTTTATTTTTGGGCTATCTCCAGACGGCTATTAACCTTTCAAGACACTGTGAATAAACACTCATACACAA